GATTTCCTATTTTCAATTTTACTGATCTGTGCTCTAATTCTTCCTGTTTTTTGTTTTTTTTTTCTTTTGAGACAGAGTCTCACTCTGTCACCTGGGCTAGAGTGCCATGGTCTCAGCCCAGCTCACAGCAACCTCAGACTCCTCGGCTCATACAATCTTCCTGCCTTAGCCTCACTGATAGCTGGGACTATAGGCGCATGCCACCACACTTGGCTAAGTTTTCTATTTTAGCTCTTGCTCAGGCTGGTCTCCAGCTCCAGAGCTCAAGCAATTCTCCTGCCTCAGCTTCCCAATGTGCTAGAATTACAGGAATAAGCCACCACACCCAGCTTGAAAATGATTTTAAATAGGTAAATCTTTTACAAAAACTACAATTGTATCCTTTGTGGAATCCCTACACAAAACCCAATTCTCCATTTTTCTTTTAAGAAATCTGGAAAATATCTTTAGTAGAACTGTACTGATATGGCAAATTCAATATTCAAGCTCAAAAGTTCTTTCATATTTAAAAAATAAAGAACAAAAGAAAGTGAACATGAAGTCAATGAAAAAATTCTGCACCTTAAGGGAAAAGGTACATCAGTTCTACCTGGAGTAAAGCACACCACTGAAAATTACTTGCAAGAAGAAACCAAAAAAATTCCAGGGCAACGCCTGTGGCTCACAGGAGTACGGTGCTGGTCCCATATACCGGAGGTGGCGAGTTCAAACCTGGCCCCAGCCAAAAACTGCAAAAAAAAAAAAAAAAATTCCACAAAAATAATGTGCTCTCACGAATATACAAAAAAATCAATGCAGTATAAAGAAAAAATAGTATTAAGAGGCACACTGGAACGTAAAGAAAACAGTAACAACAAAAATCCAAATTGTAAGCAGAAAGAAAATCAGTGGTGGAAGGGCCTAACTTAAAAAGCTATGCAAATGAAAAAAAGTTTCAAAGGATATGTGAGATATCAGCTATGAAAACTGGAAAGTCGATCCAACCCATGTAAAGTTTCCAAGGAACAAAACAAGAACAAAACAAAATGCACAAAGCTAAACAACAACAAAAAAGAATTTAATCCACAGATTCAAAGACCCATCATCTTTCAGATAAAATTAATGGGTTAAAGAAACCAGTAGATCTAGACCTAAACTTTGAAATGTTTTATTTAATCATTTAAAATCTCCACACTCCAATATAGGCAGCTATATTTACTATGGAAAAGGCACATATTATCTGTGGTCAAAATGGTGTAAATCTGGCATTTACTGTACCACAGGAAGGTGTCTGGGTTACCTTGCAAGAGCATTTTCCTTGCTTATTTTGTATTTGGGATTGGACATTCACTTGCTGAAGGTAGAAACAAGCACCTCAATTCACTTCTTCAGATAAAAATAGCACTCTCTTCTTATATACTTACTATGTATTTAAACCATGGTTGCCTTACTTAACCCATATTATTATTTACTTTCAATGAAGTATCAGTCTTAATATCTTTAAAGTAACAACACAGTTTTGCTTTGTTGGTTATTAATTCTTATAACAGAAATAATATATACCAGCATCATCAATTTCTATTTTTTAACATACACCAGTATTAATACACAGTTGTTTATTATCAAGTATTAGGTAGGTACTGGATGTAATCATATGTGTTACACTTTTTTATTTTTGTCAATTCTCAATACTACTGAGACAGCATATGTCAAAATAAATCCTGATTCTCAATTTTTGTGTGTTTTGCTTTCAAGTACAGTTTGTAGCACCTCTGAGTTATTTTTTAACCTAAAGTAAGAAAAAAAGGTAAGTGATAAAAGAACATATATTTCCCAAGAATTTTGATAGGCCTGGAATCGTATTATGTAAAAAGAATAAGTTTCATTGTATAGTGGTTTTGAAAGTTAATTATAAATTACTGTTAGCAGTAGTATAGTTATTTTATTTCTACCAGATGTTGATAAAACAAGTCTAGTTCCTAAGTAGTTGAGGTTAGAAATAAAAATTACTTACTGTGAGAATGACTATAGGGCTTTCAAATATTGACATAATTTATAGCTAACCTCTTCCAAGAACTGTCCATACTTGCAGTCTCCAATTCCTCTCCTCCTACTCTCTTTTGAAACCATACCAATCAGGTTTTCTCCCTTACTACTCTCCTGAAAGTGCTCTCTCAAGGTACCCAAACACCTTCCTACAGTTATCTCCTGGTCAACATCTTACTTGACTTTTCTATCACCAGGAGGTGATAAACAGCCATTCCCCACATTGAGACAAGTTTTGTAGTTTGATCTCAAGTTAAATCAGTAAGTTGAAGAGGTACATTTACCTATTACTCATAAGAGCTTTTGTTAAGAGTCAGCTGTTTTTAACTCCAAGACTTAAGGTAGTTGGCTGCTTTCTCCTTGAAACACACTCTTTAGCGGCCTGCAGCAATCCATTCTCACCTCCTTCTCCTCCTACCTTTAAAAGCTTCTCCTTGTGAGTCTCCTTTGTAGCTCTTAATCTCTCCAATCTCTGAACATGAAAAGCCCAGGGTTCAATCCTCACTTTTCTGCCTAGCCCTCATAGCCTCCTAGCTTTAAACACTGCCCTGTGCTAGTGACTCCCAAATTCTGATTTCCAGTTGTACCTTTCCCTTGAACTGCAGTCTCTGTACCACCACCTGAACAGGCACCTTGAACCTGATAAAACTAAACTCCAGATTCCTGTTCCACCCACTTCCACCCAGGCTAAGCCCATGAGTTGTGCTTCACTCTTCCTCCCACACTCCACATCCAATCCATCAGCAAGACCAACAATATGGCAGCTTCTTATGCCTCCCTTCTACCACCTGGTCTAAGCTACCATCCCCTCTCACTTGGGTTACTGCACTAACCTCCCCACTGGTCTCCATGTACAGTCCATTCCAAACACAGCAGCCCGAGGCCCTTTAAAAATCTTAAGACAGATTCCCTCACTTCTCTGCTCAAAACCCTCTAGGAACCTCCCTTCTTAGAGCAAAAGCCAAAGTCTTTACCAGGACTCATTAGGTCTCTGACCTTAGCCAGCCTCTCTCCCCTCAAACTCACCGGCCTCATGCTATCTTCCAAGACTGGTAGGTTCTCAGCGCTTGTACTTGCCAGGTGTGCTCTTCCTAGACAGCCGCATGACTCTCCTTACTTTGAAACTGCATTTGCGCCTTCCCAGGTGCTTCCTAGCCCCCCTTTCTACTTTGTCTTCTTAGTTAATTGTTACCATCTAACTGAAAATGCTTCACTTTTAATTTCTGAAAGATTACCTTCCTCCAGGGGACTGCTAGCTCCGTGGGGACAAAGACTTCATTTAGTTCACGCCTGCATCCCCAGTGCTTAGCACAGAGCCTCGCCATGGAAGGTGCTCAATACGTATTTACTATATGAATGCTGACGATACAAATTTTTAAAGCCTTATAAAGCCTACAGCTTTGGGACGCTCTAATATATCCATCCGCTTTCCATAGTGGGAAATACAATTTCCCTCCTAACAATGATAGGTACTATAGGAATCTTTTATCTCATACAGTAACACAACTTGCTTACATAACATACCCTAAATCTCTTCATTCCTCATCCCTTAGCCACTCTCCAATGCCTTTCCTGTATCCTGTAAAATAGTAAATTACTGTCACTGGAAAGTCTTTCATTTCCCTCCAGTTCTACTAACATAACATTGCAAAGTGAACTCACTAAAAATGGTATGAAAACACAAATAATGAAGAAAAGTAATAAAGCCTGTTAACAACCAAACCAACCGATGCCTGTATCATATCAAATCAAACGGTACTGGAGGAGGACTTCAGCCCAAGCTTAATTATAAATATAATCCTTAATGAGCAAAGATTTCTCTCACTAAACTCCTTTTAAAAGTAAAAAGGAGTTAATGTAGAATTTTTGCGTATAGCCATGAAAATTAAGCCTGAGAGAAAATCAGTCCAGGTTACTAATCACATTAACAAGCATGGATCTCATGGAACACTACCATGTTCACTCTTTGCTAGCTTCTAAGCTCAAACACGTTAATTCAGAGGACTCTCTGAGCCTCAGTTTCCTTACCTGCTTAATGGAAATGGTGCCTCATAGGGGCTGCTGCAAGGATTAAACAAAGGTACAAGGTGTTTAAAGCACTTGGCACGGGTCTGACATAGACTAGGCACTGAAGACAGACGGTTATTACCATAACATAAAAATACCCCCCAGAATAATGGTGCACGTATTGCAGGTCTTTAAACGAATAAGCTCCTAGGTACCACTGTTACCTTTTAAAGAGTGAGAAGTGTTACTATCCAATGGTATATTTTTATCTCATTATGTTCTGTAGCCAATTCTGAACACTGTAAAATGTTTATGGAATAAATGTCTTTTTTTTTCCCCTCAAAGCAGAGCAGTGTTGGAAAATCTGGAGAGAAAACGATGGTGCCGCTGTTAGCATCGTATGTCAATTAAGAGTGGACGTTTGTGATTGCCTGAGCCCTGAGTGAGGAGATGTGCAAATCCTGTCTTTCTACACGGGCACCCTGGGGCCATGTGTCACTCTGGACAGCTCGCTCACATCTCAACAGCTCGGACTGCAGGCTGCTTATCATCTGCCACGTACTTTCCATGCGAACGCTGCGAGAGCCCACATTTTGCCCCGGCCTAACACCCAGACGTGCAGCCGCGGGCTCCCGTGCCGACCCCCGCATTCCCCGCGAGGGAGCGCACCCCGGCCGCCGCCCGCTGATCCAGGCTGGCACCTCCGGCAGACAACCGCAGCTGTACGCTGCCAAAGCAAACAAGAACCCCGAGGCCTTTCCCCGCCCTCGCGAACAACACAGCCCGCGGCGAGGCCACCACCGACCCGCGGCCGCTTCCTCCCCCCGGCTCCCTCCGGCCGCCACGGAAGGTGCGGTGAGCCCCGGCGCCCTCGCCCTGGCCCGGGCGTTTTCCGCCACTAAAGGCCGGCAGGGGCGGCAGCAAGTGGCTCCCGCCCAGGTGCTGCCCCTCGGCCCCGGCCCAGATACCTGCGACTCAGACGAGCAGCAGCAACCGCGGCAGCACCTCCCGGTGGCGACGCCGGGCGGAGGGGACCGGGCAGCCACAGAGGCAGGAGGCCCCCCGCGCTGGGCCAGAGCGGCCTGGTACAGCGGCGGCCGGCGCGCCCCCTGCAGGTGGGCGGTCCGCACGGCAGTCGGCCGCTCTGGGTCAGGACTCAGGATGAACCTGCTCTGAACCAGGGAAAGTGCCAGAACCGCGTCTTCCTTCCGGAGAAGAAAAAGTCTTTATCAGGAGCGTTTTGCACTTTTCGCGTGCTTTTCTAAATACATATCCCACCCTCTCAGCTAAAGAGAGGCTTCAAAGGCTAGGCGAGTTTTATTAGGTGCCATATGTATGAATTAATAGTTGCTGGCTGCCAGGTGGATCTGCACAACCCAAATTGACGTATTAATAGCAGCAACCAGTGGCTGAATGCTGTGATTCTAATTTGATCCTGGGTTTATATTTTTTCAAAACGATTTGAATATTTACATTCCACTTTGTAGGATTCCTTGACTTACTGCAACATATGTATAGCCAAAACTAAAAATGCGGTGGGAAGTTCATTTACTGGAAATTCTTTCATGCAAAACATTTTTTTTTTTTTCGATTTCCCTACTCCAGTTCTACCGCTAAGACGACTCCCCCACACACTGGGGGTCTGGTTCCTCTTCTGAATTCTACCACCACTCACCTAAGCCACCCTCTCTAGGATGTCTCCTGCCCATCCCAGTCAAGGACCATCTCAGTCTGATAGTGTGTTCCTGATAATGTTATGCAAATGTTTAAGATTATTGCCAAATTTGAGGAAATCTCAATTAAATTTCTCTCATAGAATTACACAATTTCAGGGGCATTTCATATTTTCCTGAGCAGTGACTAATAAATGTTACACTTTGAATTGATGTCCTCCTTGTGGTTGTATATGACCTTTATAATATCTTCAGTGAAACCTGTAAATTGTGCCAAATCAGCGAAGAATTTAAACCTTTTCCCAATATATGCATAAAGATTCACTCTTTATTAACTGGCTTATCAAACCATGTGAGAGCTTATTTATTACTTCTCTTCAAATTTTTCTCTTCCTCTTCAGGTCTGAAAAATGCAGGGACTGTGAACACTGCTTGCTTCAAATGATCCTCCTGCCTCAGCCTCCCAAGTCCCTGGAACTACAGGGGAGTTCCTCTGAGCCCAGTTTAAGATAGCTTTTTCTCACCCATGAACTACATACTTGCTGCACATATTCTATGACTCCTTTAAGTTACCACACCTGGGGACTTTGACACATTGAGTATTAGAAATATTCTTGGAAGCCATTCCCACACTTCAGCAATAATTTAATGCTGTGTGGAAGTGACCATGAACCTCATGAATGTATCTCTCTAGATGCAAACCAAAGTATCCTCCAACTGCCTTTCTGCTTAGCAGATTCCCCCAAATGCTTGTAGCCACTGCAATGTTAGTCAACCAGGAGAAGTCAGCATTGAAAGAGAAAGCAGCCTTAACAATTGCAGTTACTTTATTTTTCCCTTTTTATTTGTACAAATTTAATTTATGCAGTACATGTGCAGTTTTGTTCATGTATAGATAGTGTAGTGGCCAACCAAATCACACACATTATACCCATTTGTAGTTAAAGTATTTTCATTTTGCAAGCTTTACTTTTGTACCATGACCATGTGAGTACATTTCCAGACTGCTCCCAGGGTCTTGGAAGGGGTCTGTACAAGGGAGGGATGTACATATATTAGTTTCCTATTGTCATTGTAAAAAAATTACCATACATTTAATGATGTGAAACAACACTAATTATTTTACAGTTCAGGAGGTCAGAAGTTCAAAATTAGTTTCACTGAGCTAAAATCAAAGTGTAGGCAGGGCTGCATTTCCTCTGGAGACTCTCTGGAGAATATTTCCAAGCTTTCCTCAGCTTCTAGAGCCTGCCTACATTCTCTGGCTAGTAGCCCCTTCCTAAAATCCAGAAGGGTAGCATCTTTTCTTCTCTCTGATCTCTGCTTCCGTCTTTATATTTTATCTAACTGTGACTCTTCAGTCTCCTTTAAAAGAACCCTTGAGCTTACACTGGGCACACTTGGATAATCCAAAATGCTCTCTCCATCTCCAGATCTTTAATTTTAATCACATTTGCAAAGTTTCTTTCTCTATGCAAGGTGACATATTCATAGGGTCCTAGGGATTAGGAGGTGGATATCTTTGAAGAATTATTATAGGCATACCACAAACAAAGGCCCTGAAGCTTAAACTTCATTCTATTCAGGTAGATCTGCCTCTTCTTCCACATTTTCAAAATCTGTTTGGTCCTGAGTTCTGATTGTGAGAGTTTCAGTGGGGTACAGGATAGGGGGATGCCTGTAATTACAAGCGGAATAAGTGTTAGGGGAAAGAGGAAAGATACTATGAGAGCCAACAATACAGGACCTATTTTAAGTAGAAGGACAACAATGGGCTGGGGGCAGTGGCTCACACCTATAATCTTAGTCCTCTGGATCCAGTGGATTGCTTGAGAGTTTGGGAATTCAAAACCAGCCAGAGAAAGAGTGGGAGAATCACTTGAACCCAAGAGTTTGAGATTGCTGTGAGCTATGATGTCATAGCACTCTACCAAGGGTAACGAAGTGAGACTCTGTCTATAAAAAAAAAAAAAAGAAAAGTCAGGGCAACAATGTTTTTGAGTAAACGATATTTGATTTGAGACTGAAAGCATGAGGAGTTACTTATGCAAGGAACAAGGGAAGCATTCTAGACAGAGGGGGAGGTATGTGTGGCCTATGAATGGTGATGGCAGGTCAGTGTGGCTGAGTTGTACCTCTACCATGGATTCCTCAGCACTACCACGGTGACTGACACACAGGAATATTAGCTTAGTAGTTCTCAACCCTGGAAATTAAAAAACACCAGTGGCCAGACCCTAGCCAAGACCACGTCAGAATTGCTTGGAAGGAGGGCCCAGGCATCAGTATTTTTAAAAGCTGCTCAGAGAATTCTAATGTGCAGCTAGGGCTGAAGTGAGAATCACTGTGTTAAATACAACAGAGGGAGTGAATGAATGAATGAATAAATGAAAGAAAACATTTGCTTGGGGTAAGGTTTTCTTCTTAGGAAAAAGAAGAGTCTTGGATATATTGGTTATATGCCTATTCAGTCTTAGAAAATGCAGAAAGACTTTCAAAAACAGTACAATGGAATGCTTATCAGAGAAGACTCAAAGTGATCTAGGAATCACTCCTATGTAACTAGTTGTCCTTGAGGAAAAGAGATGTGGTCAGAATGCAGAGAATTTAAAAAATAACCATATCTACAAAGGAAGAGAATTTCTTTTTTCTTTTTTCTTTTTTTCTTTGTATTGTTGAGGATTCATTGAGAGTACAGAGAACCAGGTTACACTGATTGTGTTTGTCAGGTAAAGTCCTTCTTATAATTGTGTCCACAAGATGTGTCACACACCGTGACCCTCTACCCTCCTCCCTCCTACCCTCTCTCCACTCTCCCTTTCCCTCACCCCCTACTATGTACTAGGTCATCAATTATCCTCATATCAGAATTGAGTACTTTGGATCCTTGCTCTACTCTTCTGTTCCAGAGTACATTTTGGGTTTCTGTAGTACTAATGAATGCCCATGAGAGGGCGACACGCTCCTGAAAAGTGTAGCTTCCACAGGTCTCCCATCTCAAGCCAGATCAGCAAGAATCAGGTGTTTGGGACAACACTGTAGGTTCAGGGGCCTGACTGAGTGAACCACAGGATATGAAACAAGCAGCACGTATTTATCGACACCAGAGTTAGATTCATTTCAGCTCCTCAATAGTTTAAAACATTTAAACCACCAGGAAAAAAATGAAATGTGTATGCATGCCACACATGTTCACAAAACCATCTGAGGAAAAATCTGAAGCTGAGAAAATATTTTCCTTCAGCAACTGGCAAACTTAGGAAATAAATATTCAAGCAAAACTTTCAGAAAGGGATCTGTCTTCTTTTGTTACCTGAAAGTAAACATCTTACATGTCCTTGAATTTCTAGAGTTAATTGCTTCTAAGATAACAGTTGGATGCATAGAAAGAAAAGAATTAGGCTCCTTGCTGCACTGGCCACATATGCCAGAATCACGCTGATTTTCACACACATATGGGGTGAAATAATGTCTGTGATGGGAGTGTATATAGTGCTTTGTCCCGATTAACCTTCCCTCCCCAAAACTAAGCAACTGAACATTAGTAAGGAATGTCTTTTGCAGATTCATGCCAGTGTTTTTCAACCTTTTCTATCTTACTGAATACTTGACCCTATAATTAAACTTCCACAGCACACTCAAAATATGCTGATTAGAAAAAGAGTTAAAGAAAGAATATACTTACCGTGCTTTGAATGTCTTTTGAAAATAATTTAATTAATGATCTTTAAAAATTTTTGCAGCACACGGGCTGAACATCATTGGATTATGCACATACTTTGAAAAGCCTTTAAAGGTGATCAGTGAAATGCTGGGTTCAGTCAGAGAAGCAGAGCTAGGGTGGCGTTATGGTATAATGGACTTATTCTAGGAATTCCACTTAAACAATGGTGGCAGGAGTTCAGAAGTGAAAGGAGTACGGGAGAATCAGGTGAGGAGTCATGGACTAGACTGAGGATTCTGGGAAGCCAAGCTTGGGAGCCCTGAAGTGGCACCACGGAGGGGAGCTGTTGCCTCTGAGTCTTCCATGGAGCATCTGGTGGCTGGCCTGGGGCTCCGAGGAAGTGCTGGCCATGGAACAGATGCTCAAGAAAAGCTAGAAACTGCTGGGCACCTCTGCACCTGCACGGCACTGTATCTGATCACAAAAAGACCTTCAGAGCATGATAAGCCTTTCCCTCACTGCCTCCCAACTCTCACACAGTGTCCTCCTTGGGTTAATTCTAAACTGGAACCACAGTGGAGAGGGGATTTGGAGAAATACAGTTCCCAACTTAACCAAACCAGCAAACAAACAAAAATAATCCAGCACACACGTAGGCTCTTACAACTAACTTTGCAGATAAGAAAACTGAAGGCCATATAAATTAGG